GTGATCAGCTAGTCTATCCTGAGCACCTGAGTCAGGGGCTGCCTGGACTGAGGACCTCAAAGGTCCTTTGGTTGTGACTGCCTGCCTCTTGGCAGGTCCTGGGCACCAGGCTCCAGGACAAGATGGAGGAGAGACACCGCTGTGGCAGAGCCACTCAGCACCCTGGGGAGCACCTGTCAGGACTCCTGGCCCTCAATGCCCCTGTGCCCATCCCATCCACTCTCTAGGACAAGTGGCCCTGTCTGTGTGTTGGAGCAAGGGAACCCCTCCTTGCGTCACCTGGACCCTCCCCAAGGGAGTCCGTTCCTTGACTTGCCCCGGCAGCTGGGATGTCACCCACCAAATGCCCATCCCGAAGACCACAGCTGCAGCATGGGCAACCTTAGAGACCTGTGTGTATACCAAACTTTCAGATGAAATTGGATATCTTGTATTGTCATTTGCAAAAATTAGACAGCCCCCACCTTAGGCCCACCCACTGTTATTGCAAAGCCCCTAGCTGCAGGCAGCACCTAGAACGGAAGGCAGATCTGGCTCCCAGAAAGGAAATGTCCCACCCCCACCCCACCCCACCCCCCGCCGGCCCTGGGCACTGGGGGCTCTGATGAAAAGGCCTGTAGCAGGGGTGGGGGTGGAGTGAGGTGCTGTGCGGGTCCTGCCCCATTCCCCTGCCTGAGGTTCCCTGTAGCATTGAGAGTCCCTTCTCAATGACTTAGTCCTGCAAAATCCCATCAGCCTGTGCCCACTCAGCACCTGTCCTCCAGCCCGACCCCATCTCCCCTCCTGCTCCAGGAAGCCTCCCCGTCCCACCCATTCAATGTCACAACTCTGCTTATCCTTCCTGTTGTGTGTCAGAAGATGCCAGCTGATATCACCCCAACAATGTAAATGCCAGATGCTGTCACTCACTCTTACCCAGGACACAAGGACCACAAAGCTGCTGACCCTGCCACCTGCTAGCCATGGGGTTTTGAGCCAGTGCCACCTCGATCCTCCCCCTCGAGTTAAGTCAGGAATGGTTCTTTCCAGAAGTGAAGTGGAGGAGGTGGGGCCAGCCTCCTGATCTACCACAGGCATCCCCAGCTCAGGCAGGCTCAAGGCAAGAGCAAGCCCTGTGGCTGTGTGCACTGGAGTCCCAGAACCATGGCTTCCCCTCCAGCTTCCTGGCCACTGCCAGTTCCTCTTCTTAAAGCTTTGCTCTCTCAGCCCCACCCAGAGGTGCAGGAAGTGGCAGCCCCCTGCCCCACCCACCCACTCACACATGGTGCCCGGATGCTGCCCCCAACCAAATGACTCAGCAGTGCACATGGGGGTGGCACATCAGGAGGTCGGAGACATAGTGAACACTGCCAGAGGAAGGTCTGGCATGATCTAGAATGAAGCTGACCTGCTCTTCCTTCCAGTGGGGGGAGGGGGAGAGGGGCGAAGGGAGGAGCCTGTAAAGGCAGCTCAGTCAACACAAGTTGGGGAACCCCAGGCACCTCTCTGAGATTCCTCTGTCTCAGGAGGATAATACCTGAGCCACAGAGAGTCCCCAGGTGACATCTGAGAGCAGTCTGGGTGTCCCTCTCTGCTGCACTTGCTGGGAGCCCCTCCCCTCACCACCATGGCCATTGTCATTCAGTGCAGGATCCTCCTCCTTGCCCTGCAGGGAAGGCACGTGCATGCAGACCCCCAGCTGGAGGAAGAAGGCATGAGATTAGAGGGCAAACCCTTCCTGTCCTCCCGTAACCCTGGTCCACCTTCTTTCTTTGTGTGCTGGCTGCTGGAAAAACAAGAGGTCCCACCATGGCTTCCTTCCCCCGGTCCCCTCCCTTTCCCAGCCGCCAAGCTGAGTGATAAGGAAAGGGAACAAGTTTCAGGAAGAGGACGCCTCCTCTCCAGGATGGCCAATGGTGGCACGGCCTGCCCAGCCCCACTTGTGCATGCAGAGTGCAAGGCTCCCCCTGCCTCCACAGCACCAGGTGGCCTGTCCCTGAGCCACAGGCAGACCTTGGTCAGACACACCCAAAGGCTGAGATGGGACCTCCCACTCCAAGCTGCTTCAGCCCATGCGCACTCTCCTGGGCCTTAAGACCAAGGTCCCAGGGGTGCGGTCACTGAGTGGGAGCCAGGCTGGCTCAGCAGCAGGCATGTGCCATGCCCTCACCCTACTGGCAGGCAGTAGTGACACCTGCATGGCTGTTTTTGAAATATTTACTTTTCTTTGAAAAGGTAGAGTCACAGAGACAAGAGAGAGGGAGAGATCTTCCATTCACTGATTCACTCTCGAAATGGCCGCAGTGGCCAGAGCTGAGGCACTCTAAAGCTGGGAGCCAGGAGCTTTTAATGGGGCTCCCACATGAGTGCAGGACCCAAGCACTTGGGCCATCCTCTGCTGCTGTCCCAGGCACTTCATCAGGGAACTGGATGAGAAGTGGAGTAGCTGGGACAAGAACTATCATATGGGGTGCCAATGCCACAAGCAGAGGTTTAGCTCCCTACTCACAACACAGGCCCCAACTTAATGACTCTTTAATGCACTGACATCAGGACCCAACAGTGAGGACAGCAGTCCCTCGTGGGGTGCAGGACAGAGGCACTGAGGAGGGTGTGGCTGTCCTCCCCTTCACCCTCTCCCCGAAAGCACAGTGCCTGGATGGAGGGCCCGCGAAAACAGCTGGAAGCTTGGAGTCAGTGTGATGGCTCAATTAGCTAATCCTCTGCCAGTATTCCATATGGGAGCCAGTTCACGTCCCAGCTGCTCTGCCTCCCATCCTGCTCCCTGCTTGTGGCCTGGGAAAGCAGTAGAGGATGGCCCCAAAATAAGAACCTGGATGGAGTTCCAGGCTCTTGCCTTCAGCCTGACCTAGCCTCATCTGTTACAGCAGACAAAAGAGCTCTGGCCATCTCCCTGCTTTTAGGGGACCTTGTACCTGCGTGGTAAACCGGAAAGAATCTCCTAACTTCTGGCTTTGGATCGGCTCAGCACCGGCCATTGCAGTCATTTGGGGAGTGATTCAGCAGACAGAGATCTTTCTGTCTCTCCTCTCTGTACATCTGCCTCTCCAATGTAAATAATTAATCTTTAAAGAGCTGGAAGGTGAGTCCCAGACCAGTGGGAGGCGCATCCTGACACAGGACAAACAAGCCGTGCAGCTGGGGTTTCCATTATGACCACGGAAGCGGGAAGGAAATGGAGCAGGGGACTGAAGCTGGGCAGTCCCAGGGAAGGCCCCTCGGTCCTCTTTCTCCAGGCTAAGTTCAATGTCCAAGCAAAGAGGAAGCCTGTGTTTTCCTCCTGCTACTCTAGGGGAGAGCAGCCGAAGGCTGCAGGGAGCCAGGCACCTGGAACCCGCAGGCAGCCCTCCCCACAGCTTGCACCTGCTCTTGCTGCTCCTGTTATAGCCCCTCCCAGGATCAAGACCACATCCAGCACCGCAGCTCTCTCGCTGATCTGATTATGCCACAGCATAATCGCCTGTGGGCTGCCCCATAGAGCCCAGCTCCATGCCTTCCCTCCCTCCTGGTCCACAGGTGGTGCCCTGCACCCCAGCCTTTGCCTCCACCGTCCCTGTTCCTTCTTCTCCAGTACCCACGACAGTCTGAACCTGTTGTCCAAATGCAACCAAGGACCAGTGGTCTGCAAAAAGTGTATGATTTAGAATTATGGGGGCTGGTGTGGTCGCTCAACTGGGTAATCCTCTGCCTTGCAAGTGCCAGCATCCCATATTGTGGCTGGTTCATGTCCTGGCTGCTCCATTTCCCATCTGGATCCCTGCTTGTGGTCTGGGAAAGCAATAGAGGATGGCCTTTGGATCCTGCCTCTATGTGGGAGATCCAGGGCAATCCTTGGAGGGTTCCCTATACAACCAGATGGTACCCAGGAGAGGTGGAGTATGAATGGGGCTTCAAAAAGAAAAAAAGTGAGGAATCCTGATCCTGAGCAGCAAAGAGGAGGTCAGGGGTAGATATTTGGCACAGCATTTAAGCTGCCACTTAGCTTAAGCATCCCACATTAGAGCACTTGGTTCGAATCCCAGCTCCTCCCTTTCTAATCCAGCTTCCACTGATGAGCACCCTGGGAGGCAGCAAGTGATGGCTCGAGTCCTTGCCCCACCCCCACCTACCCAGGTGGGAGACCTGGATGCAGTTCCAGGCTCTTGCTGTAACAGATGCAAGAGCTCTGGCCGTCTCCCTGCTTTTCAAACAAAATAGTAATAATGATAAAATAAGAACATTTTCTTTACTAACACAGAAATACGGAATTGACTAAATACAGAGCCAAAAAAAAAAAAAAAAAAAAGAGGATCATGACAATGGACAGCCCTCAAGGCTGCGGGGACCAACTTAAGCCAAAGTATGGAGGATGGGGTAGTCCAGGAAGTGACGGGACAGGCCAAGCAGGTGTTAGGGCTGACTCACAGGGAACCTGAGGCTGATGCAGGAAAATCCACCAGAGAACTTGGAGAGTTAGCAAGAGCCCCTGACCTGCGCGGGGCAGGGCAGGGAGAGGGTTGCGAGGGAGATTGGGGATGGGGAGGGAAGCCCCCCGTGAACATCTGTGGAGGAGCCCCTCCCAGCAGGCTAGGGTCTGCAACTCTGCATGGCAAACAGACCTGTGCCACAGGCAAGGCACTCACTCCTCCCTTCCAAGGCCAGGAGCTCCTTCACTCCACCTCTCTTACCCTGCAACAGCATACCCCCCACGTGTGCGCATGCGTTCATGCCACCTGCCAGGGCACAACAAAGACGAGGCTGGCCTGTTTGTCTCGGAGCCCCTCCTACCATGGACACACAGCTGGGGGGGGGGGGGACCCCTGACTGGCCACGTTTGAATGCACTTGCCGCTCCACGGCCACCACAGGGCACAGTACATGCACCCTCCCCCCACTTCTTGGATTCAGAGAACAAACTGTGTGACTGAGGACCTCACAGAGGGAGGCCCTCAAAGGTTATAGTTTGGGGCACACCCCAAATCAGAGTTCACTGTGGTGTAGGCACATCAGAAAGGAGATCTTGTGCTCGCTTCGGCGGCACATATACTAAAATTGGAACGATACAGAGGAGATTAGCACAGCCCCTGCGCAAGAAAGGAGATCTGCACCATGATATGGCCGCCTTGGTTGCCAGATCCGCCCTGGAGGGCTCCCATGCTCCCCAGTGCCTCTCCCACCAAGACCCTGTGGGTGCCCAGTTCTCACCCTTAGAATCAAGGGGAGGCTCAGTGGAGTTGTGTGATAGTCAAAGAGACAGGCCTGGGGGACTTCTGGAGGAGGTGGGGCTGCCCACTGGGCTCCTTGACTCTGGGCTTGGAAGAGAAAACAGCCCAGGTGACACAGGCCCAGAAGGTGGCACCTTGTACCTGGGCACCCCATAAACCACAGCACACAACCAGATGTTTCATCCAACGGCAAATTGAAGATTTAGCATCACATCCCGCCCAACCCCCATCCACCAAGCCCTATGTTAATTGGATTTTGGAATTTATACCCCAACCTGCCTCAGTTTAAGCTCCCTGGTGTCCCACAAGGGTTGGGACATGGAGATTCTGACCTTGAAGTGAAACCTGTCAGACACCTGGCTGGCACCTGCCTGTGCCATGGAGCCTGGGAAGGCAGTTCTGGGCGCCGTGCCCGCAGGGCTGGCTGGCAAGGCTCTGAGCTCATGGCGGAGGCTGGCAAGATGGGCACTCTGCCAGTCGCCAGGGAGGCCACTAATGAGCGGATGTGTTCCAGGTTGTGAGCCCCAGGGGTGACTGCACCTGGCCCAGGAGCACCCTCCACCAGTGCAAGCAGGCTGTGTAGACGGCTGGACAGCGTAAGAACCCCAACACCACCCCATGCCAGCTATGCTAGCCTCAGGGTCCTTGGGCGCAAACACATGAGTGCCAGCAGAACCCACTTTGTGGTCCGCCATGGTGCCTGCTGCACAATGCATACCATGTCAGAACTCGATATTATTACTTTATAATCAACATAATACAGGTTTATTCATTTATTTATTGGGAAGGCAGAGTGAGAGGGAGAAATATCTTGCATCCACTGGTTTGCATCCCCACAACAAACCAGGAACTTCTTTCAGGTCTCCCAGTGGGTGCAGGGCCCCAAGGTTTTGGGCCGCCCTCAACTGCTTTCCCCAGGCCACAAGCAGGGAGCCTGCACCCACACTGGGAGACCTAGAGGGAGTTTCTGGCTTCAGGTTTCAGCCTGGTCCAGCCCTGGCTGTTGCAGGAAATGTACCAGCAGACGAGAGCTCTCTTTTGCTCTCTTCTTTTCAAATAAAATTATTATTTTTTTTAATCCCAGGCATTCCTCCCTTATGGGAAAGGGGCCTCTTTTTTTTTTTTTTTTTAATTTTATTGCAAAGTCAGATATACAGAGAGGAGGAGAGACGAAGAAGAAGATCTTCTGTCCATTGATTCACTCCCCAAGTGACCACAATGGTGGTCGATCCAAAGCCAGGAGCTCTTCTGGATCTCCCACGTGGGTGCAGGGTCCCAGGGCTTTGGGCCAATCTCAACTACTTTCCCAGGCCACACACAGGGAGCTGGATGGGAAGTATGGCTGCCATGATTAGAACTGGCACCCATATGGGATCCCGTTCAAGGCGAGGACTTTTAGCTGCTAGGCGACAGTACCAGGCCCCTAAAAGTGTTAAAACGAAAACAAAAACAAACAAACAAACAAAAAAGAACAACCTTCTTGCTGTGTGAGAGAGCTGAAGAAATGAGGAGGGGATGCTCCTGCTAAGCTGGCTAGGCTGGCTAGGAATCCGGCAGCCCGGAGCCTCTGTACACAGAGCTGGGACATTCACAGCTGTCGGGCTGTTCAGAAAGAACCATGGTGACAGTGGATCATTTCCACATGCTTGTGAATCAGGGCAAGTAGCAGGAACTCTCCCAGACAAGGAACGAGTTACTTGTCGAGTGCCAGAACCTCACAATCTCTTTGGTACCAAAGCAGAAGGCGAGTGGTCCCACATAGCACGGTGCCCATATGGGGGCAGGCACAGCCACTGCCAAGGTGAGGCTGGGTGCTGAAACCTTCCTCGGAGCTTAAAACACACTTAGGTTCTGGGCCTCACCCCCAAGGATCTATCTGCTCACATCAGCCTGCACCTGCACTTGGGGAGCTCTAGGGCCAGCCTTCCCTAGGCCCAAAACTGTAGCACAGTGAGCTCAGCTGCCCACCACAGTGCTGCTGTCCCATATGGGCACCAGTTCAAGTCCTGGCTGCTCTGATTCTGATCTGGCTCTCAGCTAATGCACTGGGAGAGCACTGGAAGGTGGCCCAGGTGCTTGGTCCCCTGCCACCCACGTAGAAGATCCAGAATGAATTCTAGGATCTCTCCAGACTATTGTTACCATTAGTCATCCTGCCGTTCAAATAAATAAATATTTTTAAGATTCATTTATTTTTACTTGAAAGACAAAAGTATAGAGAGGAGACACTAAGAGAAAAATCTCCCATCTGCTAGTTCACTCCCCAAGAGGCTGCAACAGCCAGACCTGCATCAATCCACAGTCAGGAGTCTCTCCAAGGTCACCCATGCAGGTGCAGGGTCCCAAGACCTTGGGCCGTCCTCGACTGCTTTCCCAGGCCACAGGCAGGGAGGTGGACGGGAAGCAGAACAGCCAGAACACAAACCGGTCCATATGGGATACTTGCGCTTGAAGGTGGAAAATGAGCCTATTAAGCAACAGTGTTGGCCCTCAAATAAATAAATCTTTTTTAAAAAGACAAAAAAGGAAAAGAAAAAATCTGCAAAGCAGAACCAGAGCCAGGTACCTGGTTTCTCTTCAGGTTACTGAAGTGCTCTACCTGCCACCTGACTCTAACACAGAGAGCCCCTCTTCCGTGAGAGGAGGGGGTGCACATGTGGACTATCTCCTGATGGTGTCAGGTCTGCCGCATCACCTCACCTCCACCGTGCCACACAGACAGCAGCCTCATTTTACAGGTGGCAAAACCTATGCTCAGACAGGCTGAGTTGTTTGGCGTCGGACACACAGCTGGTTCAATGGTAATTGTGAGGCTTGAGTCCAGGTGGTACCCACTTGAATGCCCCTGGGACTGGGGACAGGGGAAGGGAGTTACAGGGACAGAACACCTTCCCCCCTTCCCTGTGATGGCTCAGTAGCTAAATCTTCATCTTGCACATGCCGGGATCCCATATGGGTGCCAGTTCGTGTCCCAGCTGTTTCATTTCCCATCCAGCTCCCTGTTTGTGGCCTGGGAAAGAAGTAGAGGTCTTGGGACCCTGTGCCCATGTGGGAGACGCAAAAGAAGGTCCTGACTTAGGATCGGCTCATCTCTGGCCATTATGGCCACTTGGGAATGAGCCAGAGGATGGAAGATCTTTCTGTCTCTTCTTCCCTCGAAGTAGCTCTGCCTTTCAAATACATAAGGGAAGGAAAGGAAGAAGGGAAAGAGGGAGGGAGAGAGGAAGGACGTTTGCTGCCTCAGCCATGACCTTGGAATCAAGGAGGGAACACCGTGGCCCCCAAGTCACAGCTCACACAGCTCTGCCTTCGCACTGAGACGTGGTCCCACAACCCCCGTAGCAAAGACTGCAGTGTGACCAAAGGTTGCCTTGAGCTGCCTCAGCGATCTCAGAGCAATCACCGCCCCAGCCCCCACCGTGCAGGGCAAGGTTGGTACTGGCTGAAGCGGGCAAGCAGGCAGGGAGGAGGCAAGCAGTTTTAAGCTACAAGAGCAGAGTCCAGTGGCTCAGGGGGTGATGCCCGCTCTTGGCACTGTGGCCCAACCAGAATGACGATCATGGCACTTCTGTGTAAGCAGTGAGCACACAGCTTTCCTTTCTGTCAATAACATGTTATTTTGCTCAAGTTGTTCAGTGACTCCACGGGAAGTTGAATGAAGCAGGGGTGTGTGAGGAGGGAGGTGGTGACTGGGGAGGGCCTCTTGCATGAGGTAGATGGCCGAGCTGAGATGGGGCCAGCAGAGCAGCAGCGTGGTCACAGCTCCTTGCTGCATCTGTGTCCCGAGGGAGGGACAGCTAATCTGCTACCCAGGAAGGTGTATGTGTGTGGGGGAGGTGGAGGCACAGGTGGGAACAAGAGGGTCTGAGGGACCAAATCTTGGAGCATGTTCTAGATTATTCCTACATTGTTTCATTTGGCCTGTACACTTTTTATCACCATTCACAAGTGAGAACAGGAGGCTCAGTCAGCTCCTTGCCAAGGTCACTGAGCTCTGCGGTCTGCAGACACGTACACACACACATCTGCACGTGAGGCCATGCACAGGCCTCTGCAGGTGTGTGTGCCATGGCTGTGAAGAGATGGGGAGCAGGGAGATGCAGGGTGATGGTGCGGAAGTGAGCTACTGCTGGGAGAGATGAGAATGTGCTGGGGGCCAAGGGGTGAGGGCGGGGCCAGGAAGCTGCGGCTCCTGAAAACAGATCCCAAAAGGGGAATTTCAGGACCTTCCCATACAGTTATCTACCCCAAACCAGTCCCATGGAGGACATTCAGCAAGGGCCCCGGGTGTCCTGTGGTGGGGGGCCAGTGGAAGCCTCCTGCCCAGCTCCAGGCCAGCACCAGAACTCTGCTTGGAAGCCTGACCTCAGTCCCAGGAGACTCAAGCAAAGCGGTGGCCAGCAGTGTCTTAGGCCTGCTAACCTAGGGTCAGCCCCTTGGGGCAGTGGCACCTTTCAAAGTTGGTCAGTCCCCTCCATGGCCTAGGGAGCGGGGCAGTCACAGTGTCGCTGATGCATACTAGGTAGTTAGCTTCCATCCGCTGGTTTACTCTCCAGGTGGCTGCTAAGGCTGGAGCTGGGCAGGTCCCAATCTGGGAACCAAGAGCCTCTTCTGGGTCCCCCATGTGGGTACAGGGGCCCAAGCTTTGGACTACCCACAGATCCCCATACCCTGTGGATCCCAAGGACTGTAGCTGGGAAAGGATGAGCCACCTGCCAGCGAGGTGCAGAGAGCACCCTCCAGGTGGGGAGTGGATGGCACAGAATGAGGGTGCTGCTGGCCTCATACTGCCCGTAGGAGCGAGGGAGGAACAGACCCCAGGTCTGGGACAGCCACTCTAGCAACATGTCAAACATCTTTGATGACCTAAGTGTTAGCTGAGGTCCAGATCCCACGGAGGGATGGATGACCACTCCACTGCAACCCAGAGAACTGAGTCTGTGACAGCCAACGGTCCCTGGGCGGTGGAGGCCAGAGCAGAGTGGCTGGGCCCTCAGGGTCTCGGGCTTCCCAGGCAATGCAGGGCAGGATGCAGCTTGTGACCCTCAGGGGGACGGCAAGGCCACTCCCTATAAGTGAACAAGCTAAGGCACTGGCTGTGTGCCAGGCTCAGGAGGCTGTGCCAGCCTGTGCCTGGTTACTCTTAAGGGTGTATGGAAAGAGCCATGGTGCAGGGCCAGGGAAAGCCAGGAAGGCAGTCCTGCTGGGGGAGGGCCCAAGCCTCCTGGGGGAGGGCCCAGGGCTGCTGGGGGAGAAACCAGGCTTGCTGGGGAAGGGCCAATGCCTCCTGGGGGAGGGCCCAGGGCTGCTGGGGGAGAAACCAGGCTTGCTGGGGAAGGGCCAATGCCTCCTGGGGGAGGGCCCAGGGCTGCTGGGGCAGATGGCAGGCTTGTTGGGGGAGGGGCATGCACCCTGGCAGCGAGGTCAGGCCCACTGAGGGTGAGAGCAGGAGGCAGCCTCTCGTTCTGCATGTGGAGCTGTGGAGGTGGGAAAAACGCTCCAGTTCATCCTAGCCCACAGGTTGGGGAGCAGAGGCCCCAACATCGCTTGGCTGCTACGGGGACTGAGGAGGGCTTCTGATGGCTCCCTGGGGGCTCCGTGACCAGCTGCCTGCCACCAGGTCCCTCTCCTCACTCACCTTACTCTACATTCATCCATTCCCCCAAATTGTGCTGCAAGCCTTCACCAGCCCATTTCACAGATGATCAGGACAATGGACTGAGCTACTGCTTTTCAAACAATTCTGTTTTAGCTAGCAAACTCTTGGAAGGCCACTCGGCTGCTCTGGCTGAGGTGGGGACCAGACAGCTTGTGGGAATGGCACTGAGGGGTGCCACTGTGCACCCCACATGGTGTTTCAGGACCCCGATCCCTATATCGGTGTCTGGAAGGAGCAGTTGCTGGTTTTCTCCAGCCAGGGATGGAGCAGGGCTGGGCAGGTGCGGTGGGCAGATGCTGCCCAGCATCACACATCCACTACAGAGGGCCAGGGGGAGGACCCTCGCCCAGGTCTGTCCAGCTAGGGAGGGGTAGAGAGGGGTTCTTCAAAACCACAGACACACAGATGGCTCAGACCAGCCCCTAGGCTTCAACCAGTAAGCTGGTTCCAAAGAGAACCTGGGCTTATCAGCAGGTGCACGGAGGAGGGCCTGAACTACACGGCCAGGCCCCCTGACCGCGCTGCTCCAGAACCCCCTTTTCGCTCATTGTCCTGCAAGAATCAGTTGGAACAAGCCAGAGCCAAATCGATCACAAAATGAGATCAGACTTAAAATGGAACCATCCTGGCTAGGTTTTTTTCCTTGCCCGTGCCTGGGGCGGGGGGTGGGTGGGTGGGGGGGAGACAAGGTAGGGAGGAGAAGGTTGTTGATGATGGTGGTGGATGTGGTAAGAAAGGGATGGGAACAGGGTGTCAAATCACTGGGGCAGCCACCACGCAAGCAGGCAGGCGGACCCGAGCACGGTCCGGGAGCCCGATGGGCGTGCAAAGTGCCTCTCTCTCACCCTGGTCCCCGCGCCGAGCAGCCGGTCCAATCTCACCCATCCTGCTTGCAACACCCGCGCTTGCCAGGCTTAGGTTCCCGGCACCGAGTCACCCGACTCCGCTCGTGCACACGCAGGCGTCCCCACTGGCGCCGTCCCCATTACCCACTTGGTCCCCGGGAGCCGGCCACCAGGGCCAGCAGTCCCGGGTGCACGATTGCTGCGGAGCCCCGCCCTTGACCCCGTCCCGGCCACGCCCATCGCCGAGCTGCCGGACGTGAGCCACGCCCACCGTCGAGCTGCCGGACTGAGCCACGCCCTTAGCCCCGCCCTCGCCCGTTGCCGAGCAGCTCCGGCCAGCCCCGCCCTCGCCCCTCGACCACGCCCCCCAGTCGCGCTGGGCCCGCCCCGGGTAGGCGGAAGGACGTGAGCTCACGCCCGCCTCCATGTTCCGGCCGCCACCAGGAAGCGTCGGCCCGAGGTCGCGGTCCGCTCGCTGCGAACGACGTGCCGGCCCGGGAGTCAAGGACGCCGAACGTTGCGAGCGCCTCCGTCCGTGGGCGCGGAATGAAGGCGGGCGCCGTGGTCCCTCAGTCGGCTGACTACGGCGGCGGTCAGAGACGCCAGCCGGCGGCTGCTTCCTGGTAGCCACCGCCGCCGCGTCGCCTCGGGGCCTGCGCGCTTCCGGCCGGGCCACGTGACGGCGCGCGCACGTGTTCCGGTCTGTGCGAGCCTCCTGCTGCCGAGCTCGCCGCCGCCGACGTGCAGCCCCCCGAAGCCAGGCCGGGCCGGGGCCGGGGGTCCGGGGGGGCTCCCCGCCGCGGCGGGCGGCCATGAACCCCAGGGGCCTGTTCCAGGACTTCAACCCGAGTAAGTTCCTCATCTACGCCTGCCTGCTCGCGTTCTCGGTGCTGCTGCCGCTGCGGCTGGACGGCGTGCTGCAGTGGAGCTACTGGGCGGTGTTCGCGCCCATCTGGCTGTGGAAGCTGCTGGTGATGGCGGGCGCGGCGGTGGGCGCGGGCGTGTGGGCGCGACACCCGCGCTACCGCACCGAGGGCGAGTCGTGCGTCGAGTTCAAAGCCATGCTCATCGCCGTGGGCCTGCACCTGCTGCTGCTGCTGTTCGAAGTGCTGGTGTGCGACCGGCTGGAGCGGGGCACGCACTTCTGGCTGCTGGTTTTCATGCCTCTCTTCTTCGTGTCGCCCGTGGCCGTGGCGGCGTGCGTCTGGGGCTTCCGACACGACCGCTCGCTGGAGCTGGAACTGCTGTGCTCCGTCAACATCCTGCAGTTCATCTTCATCGCGCTGCGCCTGGACCGCATCATCCACTGGCCCTGGCTCGTGGTGTGCGTGCCGCTGTGGATCCTCATGGCTTTTCTGTGCCTCGTGGTGCTCTACTACGTGGTCTGGTCCCTCCTCTTCCTGCGCTCGCTGGAGGTGGTGGCCGAGCAGCGACGGACGCACGTGACCATGGCCGTGAGCTGGATCGCCATCGTGGTGCCGCTGCTGACCTTCGAGGTGCTGCTGGTGCACAGGCTGGACGGCCACAACGCCTTCTCGCACGTGGCCATCTTCTTGCCGCTCTGGATCTCGCTGCTCACGCTCCTGGCCACCACGTTCAGGTTCAAGGGCGGCAACCACTGGTGGTTCGGCATCCGCAGGGACTTCTGCCAGTTCCTGCTGGAGATCTTCCCCTGCCTCCGGGAGTACGGTAACATCTCCTACGACCTGCAGCACGAGGACAGCGAGGAGGCCGACGACGCGGTCACCGCGGGACCGGAAGGCCCCAAGCTGGCGCCCGTGTTCGGCAAGGCCAGAGTGGTGACACAGAGCCCGGGGAAGTACGTGCCCCCGCCCCCCAAGCTGAACATCGACATGCCGGATTAGGCCTCCTGCTCCTCGGTGTGTGCACCGTCACCAGCTCGGGTCTGCCTTTGCGTGCATGTGCCCCCCGGGGGACCCTACCTGGTCACCTCCGGGTGCGCTCTGTACCAGCCAGCCCGAGGCCCGGCTGTGAACAGAGGAGGTTGGGTTCCTGTGTGTGTGTGTGAGAGTGTGACAGAAGGGGGTGTTGCTTGCCAGGTTGCTGCTGTCACAGCCAGCCCTCCAACTTTCCCCCAAGCAGGGACACAAGTTGAGGTACCCTCCCAGGGTTCCTCAAAAGGAATAACTACACAGCTGTTGGGGTAGTTTGGGGGTTTGTTTTTGTGAAGTGCTACTATGCCTGTCAAAAGTGTTGTTTAAAAAAACCCTATTTTTATACATGGCTCACCTCTGTTCTGAGGTTGTGCCCATCCTGACAGGTGGCCGTGCCGAGCGCCATCCTGCCCCCTGCACCTGCCGGGTCGTCCCCGGCATGCTCACTTTTGTCCCGGTAGCTTTCCTCACGGCTTCCCAAGCAGGTGGACTTTGTTCTCACGGCGTTGCGCCCATGCGCGTATTCATGTGAACGATCTGTCAGTTGTGACCTCTGGCGTTGAATTCGGGTTCTTTGCAGGACATTGTATGGTGTGTTTTTTTTTTGGGGGGGGGGTTTTGTTTGTTTTTTAAGTTTTTCTGTAAAGAAACTTGTCAACGGCAGGCGTCGGCCCTGGCTGTGTTCGTGCGTGTGTCATGCGGGGGCCAAGTGGCTGGCAAGGGTGGCACACTTCCCAGGACCCCTCAGTCCCTGCTGGGAACTGGAGGCGTCACCTTCCTGTGGGCACGAGGTGGGGGGACACGGGGACACGGGGACACGGTTACGGCGTGCCTTGAATTCTCCAGCCAGAATTAACAGTGCTGGAGAGGAACGGAGGGGGCAGGTCTGGTTCTTAGAATCTTGCAGTATGAATTGGCTGTCATCGTAAAGGCAGGACCTGCCGCTGGAGAGAGTGGCTTTAATCAGAAATGGCCAAGAGAAGCAGCAGCTCCTCCCGCTGACAGTGCAGCCCCGGGGTCCGTCCATGCTGGGCAGGCGGCAGCTGCCTGCGGGGAGTCAGAGAGGCGAAGGCCCACCCCTTGTTGTCAGGGCTTCCAGAAGGTGGTTTTTTTTTTTAAAAAAAATCAATTTATTTTTATTGCAAAGTCAGATATTCAGAGAGAAAGAAAGACAGGAAGATCTTCTGTCCAGTGATTCACTCCCCACGTGGCTGGAGCTGCGCCAGTCCTAAGCCAGGAGCCAGGAGCTTCTTCCACTGAGGTGCAGATCCCAAGACTTTGGGCCATCCTCGACTGCTTTCCCAGGCCACGAGCGGGGAGTTGAGCGGAAATCAGGGCTGCTGGGATATGAACCAGCACCCATATGGGATCCTGGCATATCCAAGGTGAGGACTTTGGCTGCTAGGCTACTGTGCCACGCCCCAGAAGGTGATTCTAACCCTGGGACCAGGGAAACACCCAGCAGAGGCCACTTGCATCCCTAGCAGGTGGTTTAAGTCCCCTGAGTGGATGCTGCATGCACTGGGTACTAAGTGCACCCTCACCCTGGCCATCACAAACTACACCTAAACTCACCGTCTGTGCCCTGTATGGAATATGGTCAGATGGCATGCTTGGGATAGATGCTGGCAACAGGTGGAAACAGCTGGCCAGGGCTGGGCCGGGGTGTCCATCCATAGGTCTGCCTCTTTCTCACACACACTGGCTGGCAGCTCATTCACTTAATAAGGATTCATTCATTCATGTTCCCACCAGTAATTCTGGTACTGGGGGGAGGCAGGGTGTGGGGCAGCGGGACATAGTAGCAAGAGCAGCAGCAGCCCCATGGTGTTTGCTGGCCGGCCGCACGCCCACAGCTGGTGGGGAGTCGAGGGGTGGGGGGCTGGCCTGATCCCTCCACTGCAGGGAGCATCTCGGAAACATGGACTTGCACACCTCCTTAGGCTGTGGGGGCTGCAGATGGTGGGGGCTCCAGCGGGATCCCTGGCCCTCTCCAAGCTGCTGTCTGGTACCTGGGTCTCCTTGGCACCAGTGCAACCATTCCTTCCTGAGACCCACCTGACCTGCGCCCTCCATCCTGTGCCCTTGGGCAGGGTTGTGGTCACCTGCTCCCTGAGCTGCACGTGGGAGCAGGGCGACCGTCGATTGCTGACGAAGTCTCGGTTGTGCTTGGAGTTGGCGGGATGGCCGGAAGTACAGGGACCACCCACAGTGACCCTTGCAGGCCCCTGTAGTTCCGATGCTGTGCTTCTCTTCTCAGCTCTGGTGGCATAACCACGCAGGAAGTCTCAGCAACTGAGAGCCACAGAGCCTCATTCTGGGTCCACAAGGCAGTGTCCACTTTCCACTCGGGATCAGTCTGTTCCTGGTTAAAGAGACCAAGCTGCGTCTGGTTCCAGTCCTTGCTGAGACGTCTGGGAAGATGGTGGCAGGTGGCCCTTGCTTCCTGTGGGAGATCCGGGTGGAGTTCCTGTTTCCTGGCTTCGGCCTGGCCCAGCCAGGGCTGTGGTGTCTGGGGAGTGAACTAGCAGATGGAAGATCTCTCCGTCTCCTTTTCTTCCTATCATTAGCTTTTAAATTAAATACTAGTAGTTTTTTTTTTTTTTTTAAAGGAGTGAATATTTTAAAAATGTGAATTTTTTAAAAAGGAGTGAATATTAAACTACTGGCTTTAATGCCTACCATGTAAATACAACTCATAAACAAATGCCTTTTTGCAGACTTGATCAGTTTTATCTGAGAAGCAATGAGAAAGCATTCCCACGCACTGGTTGCCTCCTCAGATGCCCATCTAGTGGTGGGCAAGGCCAGGCCAGAAGCCGGAAACTCAGTCCAGGCCTTCCTCTCCATCCAGTCAGTGCTGCCTCCCAGGGTCTGCACTGGCAGGAGCCTGAGCTGGGACTTGAACCCAGCAGGCACTCTGCGGTGGACTGCGGGGCTTCCCAACCAACGTAGTCACTGTCCCTCCATTATTCATGAGTGCAGACATCCTGTGACCTTGACCTTCAGAACCACTGTCCCGGAGGTGGGTGCTGTAGCATAGCAGGTGCAGCTGCCTCCGGGGACGCCTACATCCCCATGGCTGGGAGCCTGATCTTCCCACCCAGCTTCCTGCCGACACACCTGGGAGGCAGCAGGCAGTGAGGACCCAGGAACCATGTGGATCCCTGCCACCCACTGGGAGAACCAAAGGAAGGAGTTCTTGGCTCCTTGCTGTGGCCTGAGCCCACCTGGCTGGTCGGGGCGTTTGGGGAGTAAACCAGTGGATGAAAGATCTGTCTCTCTGCCTTTCAGATCAGTCAATTATTAAGAAAACAGAACACTGCTGCCCTGTATTGCAGGGGTGGGTAAGAGAGAGGAAAGCAAATAGAACTTGGGGTAAGGAGACACAGGCCACTGTCCCTGTCACTTCTCCACTTGGTCCTCTGCCTGCTCCCCGCCAGCCGGGCCATTGAACCCGGGAGCATCAGCAATACCATGGTTGAGAAGGTCTGGGACCCCCACACATCCCAGCCCTGTCCCGGGGGCCCGCCCTCCTCTCTCCCTGTCTACCAAGGCCCTGCTCCCCCTCACCTGGGCAGCTCCCTAGATGTTACTGGGACTTGCAGGGGCGATGGAAATGTCACCTGCACTCCCTCAGCTGGGGCTGCGCTTAAGGCCACCGGGACCCAAGCTCCAACCTCAGGATGCTGGCCAGTCCGGGGCGGGGTGGGACAGAGCCTGGGAGATGGCATGCGTAGGGGGGACAGAGCCTGGGAGGTCCCTGCACCCTGTCTGAGGAACCTTGGTGGGTGGGAGGGGGTGAGTTGTCCTAAGAACTTGATCGTTTGCCTGCTGCCGCGTGCGCGTGAGCAGGAAGCTGGGATGGGGACCGGAGCCTGGGCACGCAGCTACGGAACCAGCCATCCTAAGTGACACCTTCACTGCTCTGACCCCGAGTTAGGTTTTGAAAGCTAACACAGCAAAATACACGCAGACGCCAAGGACTGGATCACTAAATATAACGTATCCTATGCTGAAATTTTTTTTTAACAATTTGTTTATTTTACTTGAGAATTAGAGACGAAGAACTTCCATCTATCGGTTTACTCCCCAAATGGTCTGAAGAGCTGGGCTGGTCTGAAGCCAGGAGCCAGGGGCTTCATCCAGGTCTCCCAAGTGGGTGCAGGGGCCCAGATAGCTAAGGTACTGCCTTCCAGGTGCATCAGCAGGGAGCTGGATTGGAACTAGAGCAGCTGGGACTTGAACTGATACCCTTATGGATGCGTGGGACCCTGCCCAGCTACTGGGCCACAACACTGACCCCCAAGAAAATTCAATAGTGTACTAAGTGTGCTTAAAAAAAAAACAATTGTAAAAATACACACCGGAAAAGGTTGGGAGAAAAAAACCTGACTGTTTTGAACTGTTATTTTCCAAAGAGCTACCCAGGAGCTTCTTCTGGGTTTCCTGCACGGGTGCAGGGTCCCAAAGCTTTGGGCCGTCCTCGACTGCTTTCCCAGGCCACAAGCAGGGAGCTGGATGGGAAGAGGGGCTGCCGGGATTAGAACCAGCTCCCATATGGGATGTCAGAGATTAAAGGTAGAAATTAACCTATTGACCCATTGTGCTGCCCTCCTCCACAAGTAAATACATTAAAAAAAATTTTTTTTTAAAGATCTATTTTGTCTTTATTGAAAAGGCAGATCTACAAAGAAAAGGAGATACAGAGAGAAAGATCTGTCCACTAGTTCATTCCCCAAGTGGCCGCAACAACCAGAGCTGAGCCAATCCAAAGCCAGGAGCCTCTTCCAGGTCTCCCATGCGGGTGCAGGGTCCCAAGGCTTTGGGCCGTCCCCCATTGCTTTCCCAGGCCACAAGCAGGGAGCTGGACGGGAAGTGAAGCTGCTGGGATTGGAACTGCCGCCCATAGAGGATCCTGGCACTTAAAGGGCAAGGATTTAGCCACTAGGCTATTGTTCTGGGCCCATAAGTAAAATTTTAATAGAAGAGTAACCAACTGACAGAGAACCCCTGGACCAGCCCCAGAGTCAGTTCCTGGACTTCCTGAAGGGAGTAAGGGGACAGTGGCTGGGCCAGATGGAAGGGAAGCAAAGGGGAGCCAGGATCCAGAGAAGCGTCCTCCCTGGGGGGAGGCACGGGAGACCAGGAGAAAGCTCATGGTTCCTGGCTTCAGATTGGCCCAGCTTTTTCTGTCTCTCCTCTTTCAAATAAATAAATAAAGCTATAGTAATGAAAAACGTAGTGGTAGCATAGAGACAAATCATGTAGATCCAAGGAGTTGATTGAAGAGCCCAGAAATAAACTTTCTTATCCATAACCAGATGACATCATGTGACGTCTGAGAGGGCGCCACGGCGTCCATGGTAGGGGGTGGGCAGTCTCTGACAAATGGTGCTGGGAACACTGGCTAAGAAGGAAGCTGGCAGGCCTGGCACGATGGCTTGGTGGCTAAATCCTCCACTTGCAAGAGCCAGTATCCCATATGGGTGCCAGCTTGTGTCCTGACGACTCCACTTCCCATCCAGCTCCCTGCTTGTGGCCTGGGAAAGCACTGGAGGATGGCCCAAAGCCTTGGGATTCTACACCCTTGTGGGAGACCCAGAAGAGGTTCCTGGCTCCTGGCTTCAGATTGGCTCAGGTCCAGCTGTTCTGGACACTGGGGAGTGAACCAGCAGATGGAAGATCTTTCTCTGTCTCTCTTTCTCTCTCTAAATCTGTCTTTCCAATAAA